GATCATGGTGGCACTGGTCTCCCTGAGCAGGCCCCAAAGAGCTACACAGTAAAGAAAAATGGACCTGGTAGGAGAGAGGGTCAGCCACTGGGTACGGAAGGAGGCTTCCCAGTAGGAGTGCAGCAACCAGATTTCCTGTGATAGTGCTCTGAGCCTCAGAGTTTAGAAACCAGGATCCAGAACATCTCATGGCCATGGGCCTTCAGAGTCAGGGACCCCTCTTGGAGGAGACTCGTTCTTGGAGAGATTCCCTGTGAAAGCTTCTGGCAATCTGAGACCAGCCCAACTCCTCTGGCCTGGCTGTTGACTTATTGCCAAGACCACAGGTCTCAGCAAGGAGAGCAAGGAGGACGTTCAGAGAAGTGGGGCAAGGTAGCCCTGCTGTCCTCCAGAGCTGCTCCGGAGCAGGACACTGCCCTGCAGGCTGCCCGTCCTTTTCGTTTCCCTCTGGGCTTTTCCAGCCAGAGCTTTCCTCTACCCAGCTTCCTGGACTGTCGTTCTATTTGCATTTTTCTCTTTTTCTCCCCTCTTCCCTCTCTCCTGGGGATATCCTTATACATACTCACAAAGTAATCGAGGAGCTGAGTATTCACAGTCTCAGTCTCCTTTCTGAATGAGCATCGCAACAGTGTTTCACAACAGAGCTAGTCAAATGCCAGGGCGGCAGGGCATCCATCATTAGGAGTAAGTGCTGCTTCCAGTCAGCTGTCCTAGCCCTAGGTGGTCCTCATGGATGTGTGAGCTGTTCGGCAGAAAGCTAGCTGAAAATCTTCTGTGCTGTGCTCAAAGAAACAGAAGACTATTAGCAGCCACCTGCCTCCTGAAGCTAAAGTTACACCTTCATTCAGCTTGTCTCTCCGGTGAATTTCACTTCAGGGTATCTGCACCCCAGCCCGTCTCAGCCTTGGCACCTACGGAAAGCGGAAAGCGGCGTCAGCAACAGCTCTTCTCACAGGCTGTCAGGACTAACCTAGCGGAGCAGCGAAGCTTCCAGCTGGTTACTCACAGTGGAACCTGTCCTCGGACACAACCTCTATGAAAAAATCCCACCAGTGCCCTCTACTGAGGGGCCAGGAATCAATTCTGTACAATCTCACACAGGACCCAAGCAGAGGATCAGAAAATGCACAGCCGGTTCTCTCCTTCGCCACTGCTGGTCATTTGTAGTGGCCCCGGCCCCTCCTACACCAGCCCCGCTCTTCCAGAACCCGCTTCTTCCTGAAGAAGCTACCTCTCACCTCCAGAGGGAAGCCTGACAGCCATACTGGAGGTGGCATTTGGAGTTCAAAGACTACCTCAGGCCAGCAACCCAGACAGACTTTTCTGGCTCCCTCACTCATATGTCTCTAGGCTATCCTGAAAAAACTAGTCTCTACAGGATCATCGCGTATTCTCTACTCCCCCTCTTCTGGGCTACCTTTGGGGTCTTCCTGAAGGGCCTCTCCTCACATTCTAGTCTGGCCACTAGCACTTTGATGTTTCATCTTGTCTCATAGAGTCTTAGAAGCGGGCGGGGGGGGGGTGCTTTTTAGAAATTATTCAGCTGAAACTCTTTGGGTTACAAATGAGGAGGAAACTAAGAGGACCAGATTGGCGATTCAGTTCAACACACAGTTACTGAGTATCCCTCTGAGCTATCCATATGCCTGACACTATGGAGATACAGAAGCAAGAAAGGGCCTGATTTCTTTCCCACAAGTTTACCATCTAGTTGGGAAGACCTGATACACACGTAAGAGTCAAATAACAAAACAAGGTAGTACATGATGTAGCACCCAAATGAGTGGTACCGGGAGTTAATGCCGAAGGAGGTTACGTTCAGGAAGTGTTCACCAGAGGTAGAGTTGTACAGGAAGGTTCACGCAAGTGGTGATGCACAAGCTCATAGGACCAAGAGGAGATCTGAAGGATGGTAATAGTTGAGGGAGAGCCCTTAGGGAAGAGAAAGAAAAACAGAAGTAAAGTTGAAGAGAGCAAAACCTGTCCGGGAGATGAAAAGGAGCCCTGTCTATTAGAATAGTCACAGAGTGACTGTCAGCCCATAAGGTAACTATCAGTAAACAGGGAAGCAGTGTGGCAGGAAGAGAACAATAGCTTTGGAGGCAGACCTCCCTCATTTTCAATCCTGGGCCTGTCACTTAACACATCTGTGACTTTAGCCTCTCCAAGCCTCAGTTTCCTTTTCTATAAAATGGAGATAATAACATGGAACACACAATATTGTTTTGCATATAGCATTACACATAAAGCACAAGGCCTTGGCACACAGAAGGCACTTTTTAAATGAAAGCTAATATCTGTAACCAATTACCTAGCACCGTGCCAAGCGCATATTACATGTTCACTAAATGGTGGTTAGCAGTATTCCTTTCTTCCTGCAGCTGTGGTACAGCCCTATGCTGACCTGACCCTAAAGTAAGGTGGCGTGTATTCTCCTGGCTGACTTTAGGAGAGCAGTAAGTGACATACTCAAGGCAACTGGCCCTAGAATGTCAAGGGCTATGTTTAATACCCCCATACCACACTAGGCATTTTAACATTTTATCACGCCATATTGAATATATAAAATGTATGTTCCTCATTCAATATCATTCTTGCAGATGTGTACCCGAAATGATTTTTAAAGTTTTACTTCTGAAACTGTTTGACTCCAAGTAATTTGGGATTGGCACTGCTCCTTCTGCAATTGTGGTATTGAGAATTCCCATAAAAGGAGAAAAAAAATCTAACCTAAGATTGTTTTCCAACATAATAAACTTCTTATGGGTGCCAAATTCCAAAATAAGTGAAATCAACTTACCTGCTACCACCACGTGACTGTGGTAGCACGTAAGTAAATACTTTAAATTTGATTTTATAGTTGACTTTTCCTATATTGGAGCCAATTTTTTTTTTCTAGTCTCAAATATTGTAGGCCCTTGAAAACCTCCCAGACCCTAGTCACTGGGCCTCTAGTGCTTAATGGATAAAACAGCCCTGAGACTGTAGCAGTTGGGAAGACATGTGATGAATAACTAGGATCAAATACACAATCAAAGGAACCCCTTCTTCAGGCCTCCCCGAGTGGGGCTGGCCAGCTGCAGGGTCAGCACCTACTTGAGGAAAAGCATGTTTGCAACTTAACTTGATTCAGAGCTTGCAAAGTCTGTGGTCAGTCATCTTGGTCGGCACGAAATGTTCGTGCCAACCCTTGGTTCCTGCTGCCATCCCTACCCTCGTGCACAAAAGCCCAGAGGCTTGGGTTTGCACCTGTAAATGAATAACCACATGGTAATCCTTCCATCCCAATGGGAAAGACTCAGCTGAGGGCCTGCAAAAGAGAAATGACTTCCTGAATAAATATATATATATATTTGCTCTCTGAGGCCCAAATCAACTGTTTGCTAGATAATGTTCTCCTGGGTTGAAAAATCAATGTTTTGTTAGCTTTGTGGGGAGGAGTGCAGGAAGGGATTCCCCACTATGAAAACGGTGAGCTCTGTTGATGAACCTGGCTCCACCTTGGAGACAGAAAGGCAAACATCTCAGAAGTTTCCCATCTGGCAATGCAGATCATAGGAGCCTAAGTGATTTTTGTCACTTTGCAGAGCATTTTATCTCAAAGGCAGTGAAGTCACATGGAGGTCAAGATGCTGCGTAGGGCTCAACACACCAGCAAAAACCTGAGAGGCTATAGCCAAAGCAAGATCCCTCACTTGAGTCATTTGCTTCCGCCCTTGATAATTGCTGCAATACTGCCAGTATAATAATTTACTAAATATGTATGTATGCATTTAGTTCAAATAGTTCTTTGAAAATGAAACTGTGTAACATCATATTTCAAAGAATACTAGGGTCACTTAATAAATAGAAGTAAGAATAAATATAATGAATGCCATCCAATTTTTAAAAATTCTATCCAGATTTTGCTTTCAGCTGAAGACTCAGCCTGGGGTCTGTTGTCTGTACTGAAAAGTGGGGAGAAACAAAGGCTTACCTTCTTGCTCTAATAGGAGACCTTCTTCTAAATGTCATCAGAAGGATTAGAAGAGAATTACCGAAAGCAATGTTCATGTTTCATTTAAACCACAAACAGACACACTCACTGCGCTCTGTTTCTACGGGAAACACTTCCTCCTTCCCTTTTCAGCCTGGCACTAGACCAAAGGGATGGGCTGAAAGTCAAGAAGCTCTGGCCCCAGCTCTGCCACTCACTTGGTGGCCTTCGGAAGGGCAGTTGCTCTTTCAGGCCCTCCAGCCCCTTTCATCTGTAAAATAGAGTTGATTGAAAAACTCTTCTGCTCTGATTCTTTATCATTCCAAGACTTTCTCCAATAGACCAATATGTCAGCCACAGAAAGAACCCAACTCACCATACCGCTTTGCTGGCTAGAGAAGTGAGAGTGACTTTTTCTAGCTTCAGAGAGAAATTGGACCACAGAGCAGAGAGGAATTAGCCTGACTCCACAATCTTAATACTGACTTTCAGGAATGACTGAGCTAGCCTGGGAGAGTGAGGTACGGACGCTTGGCCTACTTTTCTTCCAAGATTAGTTTCCTTTTGTGGTCTGACTTCTCAGAGTTTCAAACAAGAAACATGGGAGTGTGGAAAGAACAGGGGTTTTGGAAGCCAAGAAGCATTGATTCAGATCCTGTGTTTGACACTCCCTAGCTGTGTGATGATGGGCAATTTTCTTAAATTTTCTGAGTCTCAGTTTGCTCATATATTAAAAAAAAAAGAAAGAAAGAAAAAGAAAAGAAAGAAAGAAAGAAATCATACCTCATAAATCTCTTATGAGGGAAAAACAGTATAAGTGTTTATTGGGGGCATAAAAATGTACATTATCTGCTGGGACTGAACAATAAAGAGCCAGTAGTGTTCTTAAATATCTGAGGCTATAGGAGCCCTGAAATAATTGACTTACAGTATGAGATTCTTAGAAGGGCTAGCAGGGCACCACCCATGGTGACCCAGTCACATACCTCCCACTTCTTCTGTGCCACTGTGCCCCTTGGGAGAGATGGCACCAGCCAGGGCAGGATTCTGCCCTCGGATGCTGCTCTTGCTGCTGGGGCTGTGGATGGCCAAGGACCCAGTTGGTGCCAAGCCCAGAAACATGACCTCAGCCCGGTGGTTTGAAACTCAGCACGTGCAGCCCAGGCCTCAGGGATGCAATGCTGCGATGGCAACATCAGCAAGTACTCCAAAAGCTGCAAAGGCCTCAACACCTTCCTGCATGAATCCTTCTCCAGCATGGAGACTCCCGTCATAACCTGCAAGAATGGCTGTAAAAACTGCCACCAGAGCCAGAAGCCTGTATGCCTGACCACGTATAAGCTCATCTCAGGGAGGTGCTCAGACTGCAGGTACAAGGAGAAGCAACTGGATGCATTCTGCATCATGGCCTGTGATCCTCCACAACAGAAGGATGGCCTAAGGTACCAGCTGATCCTGTGCTTTTGGATAATGTTGTCTAAGGCCAGGTGTTCCCCTACCTCAAGCTCTGCAGACTCCCGATACTACAGCTGCATTTCCTCCCTTGAGTTCTTCACTAATCCTTACCCTTTTTGCAAATACCACTTCTCTCCCACGCAGCCAACTCCACATACTCTTAATTCCTTACGGGGTTTTGTGGATGATCCAAATGGTGAGGGAAGAGAGGTGATTCTCCTTAGCCCTTCACTGTTGCTTACATTGCTTTCTGAGTGTGGATACCATGTGGCCCTTCAAGCACTAAGGCTCTTAGCAGAGGTGGATCCAGGTTTTGTGGGACTTATGGCATATGCAGTTTTGGAGACCACTTTTTTTTTTTTTTTTTTTTGTATTCAGGCCTCTCACTGTTGTGGCCTCTCCCGTTGCGGAGCACAGGCTCCGGACGCGCAGGCCTGTCAGCGGCCATGGCTCACGGGACCAGCCGCTCCGCGGCATGTGGGATCTTCCCGGACCGGGGGGCACGAACCCGTGTCCCCTGCATCGGCAGGCGGACTCTCAACCACTGCGCCACCAGGGAAGCCCTGGAGACCATCTTAAAGAAGAAGAATACCGTCAGGACCTTAGAAGAGCTGTGGTTGGACAGTTCAGAGGGAACCCCATCGGGGGAGGCAGAGATTACCTAAGGAAGGAGGGCCGGAGAATCTGTGCCGGGTTCCCTGTGCTGGGCAAAGGAATGTGTCTGATTTTGTTGCAATAAAAGACTCTGCTTTTCCTGATTGAGTATGTGTATTACCATCCAAGTGAAAGTATGGAGGTTTGGAAACCCCTCCTTATCTCTGTGAAGCTTCAGTATCACATGCCCTGCAGGCAGAAGGGAGGGCAGCTCCCTGAGCAGGCTTGGGCTTGGAGGAGCAGCCTGGGCTCTGCCTTCCATCCCCTTGAAAATTGCCTGGTGGTCCCATGTCATATGAAGGGGAGGAAGGCAAGGAAGGGCAGGCGGAGCCCTGGGATGCCAGTCAGACCTGAGGCTGGACCCCCTTGTTTACGCTCAAGACCTGACCTCATGCCTCATTGGTATGACCCAGAGCAGGAACCTCAGACTTCTGAAGTGAATTTCCCCCCCTTGGAAATTTCAGAATCAGGACCTTCTAAAAATCCTGATCTGGTGCTTCTCCAACTAACTGTGGTGAAGGAGCAGTTTTATATGCAATCTGTCATAGACCAGCACTTTCATAAAATACAATAAAATGAACTGCTGGAAAAATGAAACAGAACATACAGATATAGAAAACACAAGGCCAAATTTTTTATTATTAGATTCAGTTAACATAAAATCAGCATATCAGATTGGCATAAATTTTCTCAGTGCTTTCTCTCAATTTCTATACTTATCATGATAGATACACAGCGAAAAAATATGCATGTACACATATAAATTAAACACCGACATAAGACATACATGCCCACACACATATACATACACAGGGGCACATACACACATACGTGCACGTGTGTACACAATACAAATGAACGTATACAAGTACACACACTCAACCATAAGGCAACCACTGTCCTTCCCTCTTCTGACTCTGCCTCCCCCATACACTTCCCTTCCCATATTTAGAAAGAGATTTTCCTACACAGACTAGGGCTCAGAATAAGAAAGGATGATTGGTGAAACGGGAAATGGCAGGAAAAGCAGAGAATCCAAAAATTCTGACTCCCAGCCCGCCTCCCTGCTTTCTAGAAAGAGATCTAAGGCAGAGCTCCTTGCTACCTACCACACCCACACTATCCTATCCCAAATATAGCTTCCCCAACAGCATCCAGGCGGCCCTGCCATACCACACTCTGCCCATCACTATCACTATTGCGCCCACCCTGTGCTTCTGACCAAGGAAGACGTACTGAAAATGAGAGGAAAACAACATTCTTCTACTCCTCTGGCTTCGCCCCAGTGTCGTGGGCAGGCTCCACTTTCTCTGTCTGCACCTTAAATGATGGTGTTTCTCAGGGTCCTATTCTTAGCTCTCTTTTCTTCCCACACTGTACTCTCTTGAGTGACTTGAAAGTTCCATGGCTTCAAGTGCCACTTACCTGCTCCCAAAAGCACCTCCCCAGCTCCAGTCTCCCAAGTTCCAGGCACGTATATCCATCTCCCTACTGTTACTAGCTGCCTCGGCATCCTGCAGACGTCTTAACAAAAACACTCAGAACTGGGCTCACATCTGCCTGGCTGCCAAACTTGCCCCTCCTCCTGCCATCTCTCAGTCTTGGTTAGGGGAAACATCAGAGCCAACCATTCAAGATCCTAATCTAAGAGACACCTGTGTCTACTCATTCTTTTTTGTTTGCTTACTTTTCCAGTAATTCCCCATCTATCCCAGATACTACCTTAGGAGGGCACAAAAGTTCTTGGATTTTCTTTTTTCCATATATCACTGGGTTCCTAACATGGGTCCAACACACATTATGATTTTGGAGGGGGCTGTGAATTGAAGCTAAGCAAAGACACCTAGGTGGTTGCAATCAAGGATTTACTGTCTAGCTTAGGAGGCAAGAAAAAATAATACCTTTAAAACACTATCAAACAATAACAGAAGAGTATAATGAATCAAATGGATTCTGTAACATTTTTCTCCCACCTCTCCCAGGGTTTCATTCATCCTAACCTTGTTCCCTGTTAAATGTTAATATTCCTGATACATGTCTCTGACATAACGTTAGGTCTGTAACAAGGGTCAGGCAACACCAGGAGAAATTAAACCACTCAATATCTGTAAGAGTTGTGGCTCCAGAAGCTGGCAAGAGTGTGGAAAGAATCCAGAATAGAATGGATCCTTAAATAGATTAATTATATCCTAACAAATGGTGTAGCAGCCTGGGTAGGAGTTTCTGACTTCCGTGTGTAGGCTGAAGAATTAGATGGAGTGTAACTTGAATCTAGGGGCCATGGACTATGAAACTGGCCCATTCAGAGACTGATGACACAGCACCCATAAAACAGGGCCCAGTGGGGAAGTTGGGGCCTGAGAAGAGCTACCCAAAAGCCTTGGGACTAAATCTCTGCTGGTTATACTCTCTGAGCCACTGAGAATGTGTTTGCAAAAAAGTCACTCAGGAAGGAACTTCCCAGATATTTAAGATGACATAATTATTACCTAGTGGGTAAGTTTGTTTTAATATCCAGAAAATTTTAAATTAAGGATAAAAATATTTACGTGAATCAAATACATGGCATTAATGTGTCTGTATTAAGGACTTTGTGCATATTTGGTATTTTAGGTATTTGCAGTGTTTAAGAGAATTTAGACTGTTACAGTAAGAAATTAGTCTTGTCATTCTAATTTTTTAAAATTTTTTAATACATTTATTTATTTATTTATTTATGGCTGTGTTGGGTCTTCATTGCTGTGCACAGGCTTTCTCTAGTTGTGGCGAGCGGGGGCTGCTCTTCGTTGCGGTGTGCGGGCTTTTCATTGCGGTGGCTTCTCTTGTTGCGGAGCACGGGCTCTAGGCTCAAGGGCTTCAGTAGTTGTAGCACGTGGGCTCAGTAGTTGTGGCTCGCGGGCTCTAGAGCGCAGGCTCAGTAGTTGTGGCGCACGGGCTTAGTTGCTCCGCGGCATGTGGAGTCTTCCCTGACCAGGGCTCCAACCCATGTCCCCTGCATTGGCAGATGGATTCTTAACCACTGCACCACCAGGGAAGTCCGCCATTCTAATTTTAAACGTTTAATTAGTTTAGATGTGTGGTTTGAAATAGAATTTTCCTTTAAAATTAGTTTTGGAACATTTAAGAAAACAGGAATTTAATCACCATATTCATACATTTTTAGATTTCTAAGAATTTTTTTAGGTATTCAGGAATGTGTAGTTGGTTAGCACAGATAACTGAATTACTTTGTAAGGACATGGACTATGTTAAACTTATAAAGTATATTTTTAAATGTTCAAAGGAGTATTTTAAACTACATTTATAAATGGTACCAAATAGTCATCAAATACAACCATTTAAAGTGATTATTAAAATATACTTGTTTGTAAGTTAAACATAAAAGCTTAAGGAAGAACTGAGCTTCTGATTTGTATCTTTAACATAGGGAACATACATTTGAAAAAGCCAAAGTAGCCCCCTAAACGTTCTTTCCTGGGCACAAAAGAACATTTTAAAAATTCGCATTGACACTGCGAGACCAGTCCATTTTCTGGACTGTTTTCATCTACACAGTGCAGAGTAGTTTCATTGATTGTATTTCCTGGTGTTCCCATGTTTGCTGGTTTTACTGAGCCTTCAGAAAAGAGAGTGGCCTCTGATGATGCAATAACTGAAGCCAGGGCTCGGGCACAGAGCTGGCAGTGGTGGCGCTGGAACTGAACCCGGAACTATCTCTCCCCAGCGCCCCCCTTTCTCTGCATTGTGCCGCCTCCAGGTGGATCATTCTGCTGACTTGAAGAGGGTCTCCCACTGCATTGTGGAAGAACTGAGAGACGGGAGCAGGGCTCCCCTGTGGCCGGTGTGGTTGTTGCAGAGGAGTTCAGCTAAATATACTCTAATAAAAAGTAAAATTCAGAGACTATATAATTGAGTCTCCATCCTCAATAGGGACTTTTCCTCCCTGGCCAAAATTGAAGTTTTGAGACTACATATTTCCAAGTAAGGTGGCTTTAAAAAAACAAAAACAAAAAAACAACAGATTGTTAAGCAACTGGTTCCTTCAATAAATCAGGCTGCTTGCTTGGAAGTGTGTGTGTGTGTGTGTGTGTGTGTGTGTGTGTGTGTAAACACACGTGCTCATGGTGGGGAGAAGTTATGTTAGTGGAATTAGGAGTGCTATATTCCACCAATTACAGATTCTTTGGGGACCAAAACTCCTCATTTGAAGTACAAGTATCTTTTGGCAGAAATAAAAAACAAGATAATGTAACAATTACTTGGAATCAATCACTTAGGTACTGGTGCATTTGGCTTGGGAGCATTTGGATGCATTGCATAGTGTACTGAAAGTTTTGTAACTAATATCTTAAAAATAGGTGGAATATGGGCAGAGATGTGGAAGAAAATGAGCACAGAAAACGAGATGTCAAGGAACTGGAGACAAATTTGCACCCACCTGCTTAGCAGTTCTGAAGACTGGGGGGTTGGGAGTGGGGATGGAGGTATGACTTCATGCTCTTGTATTTCCCAGGTTGCCGGCCCCTGGAGGCTCAGCTGGGAGTCTGCCAATAAGAGCTTCAGCTGCCACTGGATATACCTGGCACATTTAGATCTTAATAAATGTTCATTGAACACAATTTGTTTTCAGAGCAAAGGAATGGGGCTAGGAAAATATACAAATCACAACTCTGGAAAGTTTATAAAACAATTTATTTTAAAACTCTCTTATTATGCTTTAAAATTTCCAGAGAGGGGGAATTTACTACCTATGGAGACAGCCTGTGCCATTTTCTGGCAGCTCTAAATATTAAAAATTCTCCTATACAGAACCTAATCTATATCTCCGTCACTACAGCAATTCACTGATGCCCGATCACCTTAAGCCATTCAGAATAAATCCAATTCCTCATCACACTCAACTTTTTAAATATTTTCAAGAGTGTTTCATGCCCCTTGCCCTCCAAAATTGCCTCATCAAACAACAGCACAAGCTATAAAATGGCCTCTAATGTTTGATCCAATAATTCTACCTAATAAAATAGGCTAAATGGAACTAACTCAAAGCAAGGAGGAGTAAACTTGTGCAACCCATTTATACTTTTCCTTTTGTAACCAAAAAAAAAGCTTAGAAATAATACAAATTCCCCAAAATTGAGAGTGACTAAAAAAATGATGGGGCAACTACTTAACAGTGCTTTAACTGAAGTGTCAAGTCATCACTTTAACTGAAGACAAATACACAGAAACTACACTGATGCATGGAAATGTGTGTAGGCAGTGCTACATGAAGAAAAGAGAACATAAAACTGTATTTCCAGGGGACTTCCCTGGCAATGGTTAAGAATGGTTAAGTGGTTAAGACTCCGCCCTACCACTGCAGGGGGCACGGGTTCAATGCCTGGTCAGGGAATTAAGATCCTGCATTCCTCGTGGCCAAAAAAACAAAACAAACAAACAAACAAAAAAAACCCCGTATTTTCAAATGGATTACAACTATGTAAAAGAATCCCTGGTTTTGTACACCAATAAAGTCCATAAGTGAATTTGGACTTTTCCAGAATTCCATCTCCAAACCAATGCTTCCTCCAGACTCATCTAGCCCAGTGAACCTACATCTGACCCAGAAGACATTCCACATGTGCTTTTTTTTCTTTTAATTAAAGTATAATTGACATATAACATTATACCAGTTTCAGGTATACAACATAATGATTCAATATTTGTATATACTGCAAAATGATCACCGCAATAAGTCTACTTAACATCTGTCACCATACCTATTTACAAAAACATTTTTTCTTGCGATGAGAACTTTTAAGATCTCATCTCTTGGCAACTTTCAAATACGCGATACGGTATTATTAATTATCGTCACCATACTGTACATTGCATCTCATGACTTATTTTATACGTGGAAGTTTGTATCTTTTGATCCCTTTCACCCATTTCACAACCACGCCCCCCACCCATGCCTCTGGCAAGGCAACCAGCAATCTGTTCCCTGTATCTATGAGCTTTTTTTTTTTAATTTCACACGTAAGTGAGATGACATAGTATTTGTCTTTCTCTGACTTATTTTACCTAGCATAATGCCCTCCAGGTCCATCCAAACTGTTGCAAACGGCAAGATTTAATTCTTTTTTTACAGTTGAATAATATTCCATTGTATATACATACCATATTTTCTTTGTCCATTCATCTATCAGTGGACACTTGGGCTGATTCCATATTGTGGCTAT